ACGGTTTAATTTTGGTTTGTTTTTTAATTTTACCGTACCGATGATAAGTACGGTCATTGTCTAAATGATGAAGGGAATCGATTGTTTCAGAGTAGAAATTCTGCAGATGAGTTGTTTCTTTTTTGATGAATTTTGATTTGGTATTGATATCCTTTTTGTTTGTTTTGCTTGCTTGATTCCTGGAAGGTGAATGCGTATTCAAATTTTGATCATCCTTATCGATTATAGTTTTGTAATTGGCTGTTTGGTTCATCTGAAAGCGAAGCCAGAAATTTTGGTTACTGGGGTCGGGGGGGTCTTACACGGTGTCTTATATAGATCCGCCCCTGTTGCCGGGGTCTTATTATTTTTTTAATGGTATTATTTTTTTAATGGGGTCTTACACGGTGAAATTTTGTTACGTACAAGTGGTTCAACGCAAAGCATCGGTGTCTGTCGGTGTCGGACGTCGTCGGTGTCGGACGACCCCAGCCACTGAACGTAGCTTCGCCACTGAATTCTGATTGACTGGAATAAGTGGGATTATACGATTAACTTTTTCATTATCTGGTCCAATGATAAATCCCTCCCTATAAATTAATTCAAAACGTGTTGAGCACAGGTGACATATTCTCAGACTTCGGTGATGGCAACATCTATGCTTCGTGATGTTGTTTTTATATTATTTTTTTTTTGCTCTGGAGTTAGGTTTGGTATTAGACATAAATAACTTTAAATATATATTCATTAACTCAACACCCATGTTGTACATGGGTATTAGTATTAGTAGAAGTTAATTTGTATAGATTCTATGATTACTAGCTGAATTTTTTGGTACCTTTCTGTAAAATATCTGTCCATGGTGATTGTTAGGATGTTTTCCTGCTCTGAGATTAAGAGTTATGCAGTGCTTTATTTTCTTAAGTTATCCGAAAATAAATTGAGCTAGAACTTTAGTACTGCTGTAATGAAGGATTAAACATTAGCATTTCTTCTGTTTGCCCCAAATGCAGATTCAAGAGGTTTTGTATTTATCTTGCAAAAAATGGGAGGAGGATTTAGAGTGTTGCATCTTGTCAAACCTTTCCTTTCTTTCCTGCCCGAAGTCCAAAGCGCTGACAGGAAGATTCCGTTTAGAGAGAAGGTTATTTACACTGTGATCTCTCTTTTCATCTTCCTAGTGTGCAGCCAGCTCCCGCTGTATGGCATACACTCCACAACTGGGGCCGACCCTTTCTACTGGATGCGTGTTATTCTCGCCTCCAATCGAGGGACCGTGATGGAGCTGGGGATCACACCCATTGTGACGTCTGGACTCGTGATGCAGCTCTTGGCCGGGTCGAAAATAATTGAAGTCGATAACAATGTCCGTGAGGATCGTGCGCTCCTGTGAGTTAGCTTTATTTTCACTATGTACAGGTCTCTGTTTTTGCTGCTGGTGGATTGGATTGGAATTAGAGAATCTGTTTTAATGTGCAGTTTTGTTGTTTTTCCTGTAGAAATGGTGCTCAGAAGCTTCTGGGTATCTTGATCGCTGTTGGTGAGGCCGTTGCTTATGTTCTCTCTGGAATGTACGGGAGTGTGAGTCAACTCGGTGTTGGAAATGCTATTCTTATTATCCTTCAACTGATCTTCGCTGGTATTATCGTGATTTGCTTAGATGAGCTTCTCCAGAAGGGTTATGGTCTTGGTTCAGGGATATCATTGTTTATCGCTACCAATATCTGGTAGAGTCTTTGCTTAAATGAGTTGTACTGTTTATTTGTCACCACCAGCTTATTCATGGCAGTTTATTATTAAGTAATAAACCTTTCTGATTGTTGTTTTCAGTGAAAACATCATCTGGAAAGCATTCAGCCCCACAACAATCAATAGTGGCCGAGGAGCTGAGTTCGAGGGCGCTGTAATTGCAATGTTCCATCTGCTTATAACAAGAACGGATAAAGTCCGTGCACTGAGAGAGGCATTTTACCGTCAGAATCTTCCTAACGTGACCAATCTTCTTGCGACTGTATTGATTTTCCTGGTCGTGATCTACTTCCAAGGCTTTCGGGTGGTGTTGCCCGTGAGATCTAAAAATGCCCGTGGGCAACAGGGTTCTTACCCGATAAAGCTTTTCTATACATCCAATATGCCTATTATTCTTCAATCTGCACTTGTGTCCAATCTCTATTTCATCTCTCAGGTAACTCACTCCATGATATGATTTTAATCTTGTTCTCTTTTTTTTTTTTTTTTTTTTTTTTTTTTTT